GTAAAAAGGAAATGATATAGATGCCTCGGGCTTAATTGTGAGGGCTAAAATAAATATATTTATCAAATATATATGTGTGTAAATATTTAGCAAGGAGATATCGAATGCCAGCTCCACACCGAACACTGTGCCGGGCGGGCACTCAGACAAACCGGTGGACAAGGCGGAGGATGTCCATAGTCTTGTGAGGCTTAACTGTGTGCCTCTTAAATGCCAGACACTTAGTAGGTTGCTTAGTAAAGCTAGCTGGTACCAGCGTCCTTTTCTTCACCATTTCTCCGGAATGCACAAGGTACTCGTGAAATATTACAAAATACCAGTGGGCAAAGAATTACCTATATGGTACCAGGGGAAAGAAAGGAATTTGCTTAAAAAACAAACAACAACAACAAAAAATAGTGGAAGGCAGTTGTTTAAATCTCAGAGAACTTTTTTTTTTTTAACTTGTGAAGTACTATGTGCTGTCAACAAACAGGCTAATTTCAAGTGACCTTAGTAGTTCCTGCGGCCAGTCTGGTGTGCTACATACTTAGCAGTTCTTTAATAGCTATAAATTTGGCTTGAAAAGTAGTAACGTTGGCATCTGACTTTTCATTTTTACGTCATTAATGCAGGGCACTGTGAAGAGGTGTGTTCAGTGTCAGAAAGGAGAAGGCGCCGGGCCTGAGACCCACTGCCATAGGGTCCCCTGCTGGCGTGGTGGGGCTCGGGCGGACTCTTCTCTGGGGTGCTGTGGTTGGAAGTGAGGGTGCTCTGGAGCAAGGCTTGCCAGGGCTCCTCGCCTGGAAGCAGCAACTGCCCAGGGCTGCTGGATGTTTCTCCCCAGCAGACAGCCAGGTTCCAGTCCCGCCACCTCCTGTGGAAGGAGGAAAGGCGAGGTCCGTGAGGCTGTTTCCAGACAGGCTCTCCGTCCCCGGGGAAGCTGCGTGGGGTCAGCAGCGGCAGTGAGAGAGCCTTTCCCTCCCTCCCTGGCCGCCTGAGAGGTCCTGTGCTGCCTGCCTCCTGCCCTCCCTTCTTGTGCTCTTCTCCGAACGTATTGATATGCTAAGTCTTTCGAACTGAAACTGGGAAAGTAAGTCCTGTTTGACATTGTTCGATCAGAAGGAGAGAGAAAGACAGAGACAGAGACATGCAGAAAGGAGAGAGGGAAAAGAAAGAGGGAGGAGAGAGAGGAGAAAGGATAGGGAGAGTGAGGGGCAGAGACAGAGAAAGGAGAGAGGGAGCAAGAGAAGGAGAGAAAGACAGGGAGGTGGAGGTGGCAGGCGGGAGAGTTGGAGGAGACGCGGGTAAACAGAGCTTTTAGACCTTCCAAATCCATGATCAGTCCAGAGGAGGAGCAGGGGTGCCTGGTGGATTACGGCAGCCCACTCCACTCCTCCTATGGCAGCCATGGACAGCTTCTGTCACGTTGGCCCCACACTTATCTCTGCATCTATTTCCCCTTGTGCAAGATTCAGAACTGCTTGCTCCAAAGAAACAATGAAAGCATTCATGTTTATAAGAATTGCTCAGGTGAAAGTCAGTTTACTGATATTGTTGTATTTTCTACTATTGAATCATTTGGGTCATGTTTGAAATTGTTTGGGTTTCCCAGGCAAAACAGAAAATTGCAGTACGTTTCTGGAAATAATTATTTCTTCTGGCATCCCCCTTTGCAGACCTACTGATCTTGGTTTTCATTTAGGTGAAAGTTTGTGAAAACACGTCATTAGTTCGCTTTTGTGATTAACTCCTTTTAAGCTCCTTTTCAGCTGAGACCGTATCAGGCTTAAATTCCATTTTCCACTTGACACTCTGCATTGCTTCCATGTGGGAGAAGAGGGACTCAGTAAGTGCTTTATAAAATAAAGAGCCACGGTGGTACACGTGTGACCAGGGGGTGGGACGCGATTTAAGTGCCCCTTGTAGACACTCCAGGCTGCCCTTTGTAAGCCGTGTCTTGGAAGAGGGCTGATTTCCTTTCCCTCAAACAGTTTCCCATTGTTCGAATATTCCTTTAGACTTTCCCTAAAAGCAAGGTCACTTTTATGAAAAAGTCACACTGCTTTGTCATTCCGAGAGATGCAAATTTGGAGTTTGGGGAAGTTTTCAGGAGCTTGGCAAGTCACCCCTTATGATGTCAGGCAAGTGAGGCCACAGAATTCGCAGGGCCCAGGGTAGACTAAAAACTCGCAGCCCCTTGTTCAGAAATTATTAAAAATTTTGGCAAACATCACCCCAGCAAAGGGCTCCTTCTAAACACAAACCCCCAAGCGACTGCTCAGGTCCCAAGACCATGCAGCTGCCTGCTGTCAGAGATGGTTTGGTTGAAATCGTGTGTGAAGTTGGAAGTGAGGTGGATTGCATAACACAAGTCCACGTGCTGGGGTGGTAGGTAGTTGTAGAGCGTTCAGTGGAAAAGTCCAGCCGGCCCGCGTGCACAAACGCAGAGCTCTCTGGCTCCTGCAGGCTCGCAGCTGACACTAGTCGCGGTCCAGGAAGGTGCTCTCTGGGACAGAGTTTGCTGCTCTCCCCCAGATCCCCCAAGAGACACGTGCTTGTACCGTTTGCAAGGTGACTGTCAGAGTAAAGCGTTCCCGCAGAGCAGAGCCGAACCTGGGGATCAGCTGCAGGGCAGTTCGTCAGGATTCTGACGTGTAACAGATTCTCAGGGCTCACCCCCTGAAAAGACTGGCCTGTCCAGCAGGACTTAGCATCACTGACTTCTGTCCCCATGCAGCAAACCCTGTGGGTCAGCCAGTGCTCCATTGGAGAAGTGTTTTCTCCGGTGGCGCTTAGGTGCGAGAGCCATCGCTGGGCTGCAGTAAACATTTTTTTTTTCTTTTAATTGGAAATAAGTTGAGTGTGCAACTATGGGGTATCAGTTAAATAAATCAGTTGGGTAGTGTGCAGCCATTAAAATGATGATGATGTACATTTGTTAAATAAAAATATAAGTATAGTATTAAATGAAAAATATTTTAAAACAGTTCCAAATATGGAATGTGCTTAATGGTCTATTTTTGTGAAAAGCACAGAAACATACACACACACACAAAAAAAAAATTCAGTGGTTCTAAGCGGTGAAAATTATGGGCATTTTCTTTTTTTGCCCTTTTTTAAAAAAGGTCCTAAAAATTATCATTTATGTAGCAAAAAGTTTAAAGTCACCATCTAAAAGTTTTGTGTTGGAGTAGTTGCTGTGACAAGATTTGACTTCTGTACACTTCACCAACCAATGCAGAGACACTTAAGAACTGGTTTGTGATAGACCACAGTAAATACTGTAAGTTCTCGTAATAGCATTGCACTGTGATTACAAAGATTTTTCTCATTTGAATCTTTGTTCTTTATCATTTTTTTTGACAGTTTCAGAAGAATTATGGCTTTTTGCCTTTTTCACAGTAAAAGTGTCTGAGACTCTGGACACATTGCGTTTTGGTGACACTTGTGCTATTTTCATGCTTGCTTCTATCCCTGGTTTGTGTGGCTTCAGTGTGCGGTGGACACTCTGGTTTCTGAAACGCTTTTTCTCTACTGTGGCCACTGGCTGTACTCCGAAGCCACATACCACCCTTGAAAATTCATGTCATAACTCAGACTACTTACATGCATTTGAGAAATAGAGGAAAACCCCTCCCCATCCAGAAAAAGTGACTGTCGTTTATGTTCTCGTCATGACTAATACTGATATTCCTGAAATTGAAAATTTGTATTCCATATGCACCATGAAAGATATTAAAGATACATAAAGTTATATATATGTATGTATATATAACACCTCTGCCTGCACAGCGTTTTCAGCCTCATTGGAGAGGGTGAGGTCCTCACCTTCCATCAGTTTTCAGGTGTTTGCTGAAAACAGGCCTTAGCTCAGATTCACACATCTAAACCAGAGGCAGAGGTAGCCAAGAATGAAAGAGCCGGGTGGGGAGAACCCGGTCTGGAGTCAACAAATAGACTCAGTTTGCTGGTTAGTAAAGGATCTCTTCTGAAGGTTGTTTAGCGGGGCATAAATAAGCAGATTTCCTTGAGGTCACCTTCTGCTGGCCACAGCTTTCTTATCCACAGAGCTACCAGCTGTCATCTGCTGTGGGCACCTGAGACTGCCGAGTTGCAGGCCAGGACCCCAAGTGCAAAGCACCACATGCTCTTTGTTTCTACCCTACTGACGCTGGGGGGCTCTCCCGTGTGTTTGTGGTGGCTTGCAGTGCCGTCTGTGGAACATTCACTGTGGCCACCGAAGGACAGCATCTTCCCAGTTGTTTTTCTTAAATTTAAACCAGTCTGAGGAGCCAGCCATCTGTCAGCAAAACAGGAAGGCCTGGGCCCTCTCCTGGGCTTGTTCTGCTGCCGTGGTGAGCTTCACTGCTCCCGGTGCGACAGTGCTGCCGAAGTCTGAGGCGAGGGCCCAGAAAGATTGAGGGACAAAGACAGGAGCACCCGCTTGCCCATCTGCCAGGCTGGAGGTGTATTCATTATTGATGGAGGTAGTGCGGTTGCTGCTCAGATATGCAGCCCTGCCTGGGTAAATGAGACATTCTTCAGCAAATTGCTTCGTTTTTTGATTGCTGATTGTACGCGTGTCACCAAGCTGACTCAAGGTTCATCGATGCATGCTCAGTAAATTAGAAAGAACATAACTATGGATCAGCCAAGAGAATGAATTCTGTGCCTACAATGACCCAGGGCCATTTAATTTTCTGCTTAATTTTGTTGCAGTCAGTTTGCATTTTGGGTTATTATGCAGTAGGAAATTAACAATAAATAACAAATTTGGTCCTCCTGTGCTTGTAATGATATTTTTATAAATCTTTGTAATGCTGTTTTTAAAAGGATCAAGGTCTGTGCCAGTCTGATACTTCAGCAAGTATGTGAGGAGGAAAATGCATTATTCTTGCCAGATAACCTTGTTGTTAAATAGCGTAGGGGTTCTTTATCTCTCGCTCTTTCTCTCTCTTCTCTCTCATATCTTATTAGTATTTTTGCTTTGAACTAAAATTCCTTCCTCTCTTTCTCAGATAACCTGAGGACAATGGACGCTGATGACAGTCAAGACATGTCCCAAGTTTCAGGTGAGACCTTATGAGATACCTGTGGGGGAGTTCATGAGAAAGGCTCCCCTCGGCCAGAGTCCCAGGTGCTTGCTGTGTTCGTAGGGGTGGAAGATTATGCTAAAGGAAAGAGAAAGATGGGGTTCGTATGAGTGTTTGCCTCACCTCTTACAAATTATCCCAATGTGAGAACAGAAAAATCTTCAAGATGAAGTTAGTTTTACTGTTAAATCTGAGAAGAAAATTGGAAAGGGTTAAATGTATGTTCATACTGTTGGGAGGCAAATAGCTGATTGGTCTGTTCTAGAACCCAAACGCATGCCAATGGTGACATTTAAAAAGAGAAGGGGGGAGGGGGGGAATGGGAGAAGAGGTGGCGGGGGGAGAGAGAGAGAGAGAGAGAGAGAAAGAGAAGTAGCTTGAAAAACATTCATTGTTGGATGCAATTCAGAATATTTAAATATTTGTTAAGTGTAGAAGTAATGTTTATCCCATTGATCGTGTATTTTTCAAGCCATGTTGGACGCAGCTCTTCTCATCACAGGAAGCCCAGAGGAGTCAGACACCCAAGAGTAGGTCACAGACTATCCCATCGGGCAATGCTGAGGACAGACGTCCAGCCAAGTCCAGCGAAACCTGCGCGGTTCCCACGTGCACAGACGTGGGGAACAGCTTTCCGTCTGGCCCTGTATCTGCAGGTGTCAGCAGAAGTAGTGGCTTCCATGGGCTTTGGGGTTTTCAGGATTTTATATTTAGAGCCTCACAGGCTCGTAGCCAGTCCCAGAGGGTGGGCTCTATTGGAGAAAGGTCCATCTTGCCTTGGCCGAGCTGCATCCACGTGTTTTGAAGTTTTTATTGAATTCCACATTTTGGTCTAAGTGGGTGCTCCTGACAGAGACCAGGACAGAGTGTGTAGTTGCTGCCCTGCTCGGTGACCGCTCCCTGGAGAAGCGGCAGGAGTTCCCTCAGACCCAAGACGGATCTGCTGCAATCACAGCGGCCTTCCTCCTCCAGCACTCTGTCAGCTACTCCTTCCATGTGCCAAGTTTTGGACTTAAACTCTCCAGGGTGAAAGGAGCAAGCAAAATGCTAGCTTCTAAAATGTGGTACTCAGGCACTTCATATCGATAGAAGTGAGAATTGGTCAGCACGTTTGGCATTATCTATGTCAAATAAAATTGTATGTACCTCACAATCTGTCAACTTCACTTTAAGGAATTTACCTTAGAGGTATACTCTCACAAGTGTTCAGGGTATTTAAGTATATGCTCATTGCAGCATTGTTATTAATGTTATTAATGTTTAAGAACTACGGCACATCCATCCACTTGAACATACAGCTCTGAAAAATGAGGAGGATATGAATAAAACTAGTATGGAAAGGAGTCCAAGATATATGTGAAAGTGAGAAAAGTGTGTTTCTGGATGGGGTGCAATGCATGATCCCATTCTTTAAGAAGAAAACGAATTGTAAACACAAACACATCTTCAGTATGCTTGCATATACGTTTAGGAAAATTCTGGAGTGATATTTATTAACCTAGACTTCCTCTTGGAAAATTGGTGGTGGAAGGAAGCAGGTAAGTTAGGGGGGAGGAAGAGGAAAAGGAAGACTTTGCTTTTTATCTTCTACCTTTTAGCATTATTTGAATTAATTTTCCCTAAGCACATACTTTGTTTCTTAAACAAAAAAGCACCCCCCCCCACACACACACACACACAAAAACTAGTTAAATGGAAAAGCAGTTTAGCTCTTTATAGCCTCTCACCATAGCCTGAGAGAGTGGGGTCTGGGTAGCTCTGGCTGGGTGAGGATTATGGTCCTTGCTCACGGAGGAGAGTCTCATTTACTGGGTTTGTGAACTATGACTAGACGTGATTGGAGTGTCAAAAAAACTCTGGGATGTTAACAAGTTCCAAAGACAAGAAGAGATGCTCTTATTGTGTCTGCTCTTCTGCTTTCGGGAATGTTGCTCTCACGTTGGGTGGTGTCTAAATTGGCGTTTGCATAAAATGTTAAAGAGAATGAGACTCCTTCAGTCATCTTAGAGTCTACACTCGGATGTGCTAGAGTCAAAACTGAAGTCCAGGGGCCATCTCTAGAATGTTTTCTGTAAGGAACAGCCCGTCAAAATTCTGATCTCATATCTTAGCAACAAAACTAACAAAAGCCTCATTTTCCTCTGGTAGTTTTCTGGTCCTAACCATTACACTAAATACTGGATTCTGACTATTTAAAGGAGACAGTAGCTGGGACCAGGGATAAGAATGAAGAGAGGCCTTATTACCCAAGACTTCCTGAAAAAGAAAACTCCTTTTTTGTTTGAAAATATTTGGTCTGAAATTTAGTTTTTGTACACCTGGCAAAGGAATTACTATTTTTAAAGTACCAATAGTACTTTTGATTTGTGTTCAACTTTCAGTGGTCTCCACAGCGATGAGAGCATTTAAAGAGTTGTGACCCCTTTAGTAAAGATTTAAAGGATGCTTTTTCTACTTCTTGGAGTTTATTTGCTGCTTCTCCAGTTAAAACCAATACTTGTTTTTTCATTTCTAAAATTAGAAGTGGCAGTTAGTTATGGTATAATGATGTACATTTAACTAAACAGGAGTTGACATTCTTGATAAGAAATCTGAGGAATACATTACTAAATCATCCTCTTTTTGCATAAAATGTTCAAACATAAGCAATATCATAGGATTCAACCTAATATATGTGAAATGCTCACTTGAAAATCAGAGAAACACTTAATATCTGCCTTTTTCAAACCACTTGATCCTTTCTTCCTTGGGATTTATCCTAAATGTGAACTGTGCCCTAGTTTACAGTGTCTTGCAGGCAGTGGACACTCCGTGTTTACTGACTCGAACCCACGGGATTGGGAAAACGCTGTTGGTGAGTCTGCCAGTGGCGGACAGCACATGTAAAGCAAGTTGTCTTTTCCTGTAGGGCGCGTCTCACTAATTGTTTGGGTAAAGTTTTTTTTTTTCTTTCTCTTTTTCTTTTTTTTGGCAGTCTTTCCAAAATACTTGTTATGAATATGCCTTATTTTTTGGCTTGGTTTCTAAAGAGCGAGCCTGTGGAAGAGTGCAGGATATGGGAGCTGAGAGACCTGCATGAGCATCCTCTCTCTGCCCCCACTGTACTCATCACCTGTAACAAGAGGGACTCGGCCATTGGGTCTTAGAGTTCCCCTGGTACCTCTGACCTTAAGTATCTATTGGCCATTTTCTTAATGCTATTTGCAGTGTGTTTTGTTGGGACATGGAAACCAGACGTATGCCCTGTAGACAGATGTAATCTGCTTAGGTGAAGGAGACTCATATATATTGAAGTGTCGATAGGAATATTTTATCTAGTTAATCATATTAAATCCTAGTAAATCACGTTGATTGAATGCTTCTGTTCACCAAATACTGCCCTGAGTATTTTCTCATTTCAAGGACCTACTGAAGAAGATACAGTTATCATCTCCAACTTTCAGGGAGCTGACACTCAGAGAATTTAAGTAATTGACTGGAAGTACCACAGGGAGACAGGGATCACTCTGGGGTGTGAGCCTCATTTGGACCCTACAGTGCAAGCTTCTCCACTGCTTTATAGAATACAGATGCTATATTCTGAGCTTTTATTTACCCTGGGAATTATATTCCCCTGGGTAATCATATATAATAAAAACTCATGCATTCAGGAGAGGGGCAAATTACAGAACTTTGTTGGGTGAATTATAATCTACTTGAGAAATTATTTCCTTGTAGTTGATAAGCTAATTATGCAATTTCCCATCCAATTTTCCCAAAAGCCTTCTCATAGGTAATGCTTTATTTGAAACATAGGCAATAGGTAAATTAAATATAAATTAGTGTATTTATAATTTAGCCATAAGTTTCTTGCATTTCTCTAAATAAGTGAAATTTTATTGCATCTTCACAATTATTCCATTTAAATAGTTGATGTCTTGCTGTCTGTATCTCTGTGTGTTTGTGTGTCATTGTACATGCCCTTAGAGAGAATATGGGAGCTTAGTGCTCTACATGCCTTATGTTTCCATAATATGTTACTGTTTGCCAAATAATACCATAAGCTTACTTAGCTAGGATTCACACACATTATTTTTACTTTATCTTCACCATAAGCCTGTAAGCTAGGCCCGAATCCCGCTTTTCAGCCTCCCTTTTCCACTTGAGGAAAGAATCTTTTGATTCTTGTGTCTTGTGTGCCTGTCAGTCTTAACATTGATTGGTCAAACCAGAGCTATATCCCAGATCAACGCACTCCTACTCACGGTGGGAATCTATTGACTTGATTTAACAATTTATTTTTTAAATTTTATCATCTTTGCATGGTTTTGCATTTTAAATGGTTAACTGAACAAACTTGTTTAAAATCAACACATAAAAATACTGCGTGTCGTGAAGATTTTCACGAAGTGGTAAATTTTCATCCTGGAGACCTCCAGCAGTCAAAGATACGAGGGTGTGTGGGTGCAGAGGCTCGTGTGAGTGAAGTAACGAATGTCTCAGCAACCTCCACTCACACTTAGGGCCTTTTAGGCAAATCAGATGACCTCTGAGAACTAGCGCCGAGTTAAGGCAAGGCAAGCTTGAATTAAGGCAGAGCTCTGGGTGGGCATGTGAATCTATCTAGCTTTGCTGCCTTCTAGTTCTGACTTTTTGCTAGATGCCCCCGTACACAGCCAGACTCATTTTTATTCTCCCTTCTCCCCGTGTGGTTCCCTCTGCATAGAGAGTTCCTATTGATCCATCTGACTCTTGGTATTTTAGAATCATGATCCCTACTGTTCTCATTATTCCTTTTTTCCCCCACGTAGAGAAAAATAAAACATACTGAGATGCAAGATTAGGGACACTGGAGAACTGGCATTTAATTCAGTGTAGAAACCCAAGACAGATTTAATTCTTTAGAAGCACATCTGTTACTACGAACATCCCCAGTGATTTGAAGTTGATCTTGCTCCTTCATTAGACAGATCAGTTAAATTTTAAGAAAAAGTAATGAAGAGTTACTTGGACACATTTTGGCATGAATTGAGCAGGCAGCCTGGCATTCTTTAATTGAATAAGTCCTGACTCTTTATGACCCTGCCTTCGTTCCAGCATGCCTTAGCATCTACAGGATCCCAGAGCGTTGTGTGTTACTCCAGAGTTATCACAGGGAAGATCATGAGGAAAAAAAGTCAATAACCTGTAGTTTCTCAACCTCCCACCTGCACCTCATAACAATGACAGCTGGTTAATCGCAGAGACACACGTGCACATCCCACACACCCTCTACATGGTTAATCTCTGGGCAGCTTGTTAGGCCAGGGGGCTCCTCTGTCACTTCTATGGAGATACTTTAGGAGGTGTTCAAGAAGGCAAGCGGGCTGGGTCCCCGGTCTTCCAGCCTCCCTACCTTACAATGCCCCCTTTTTACATAGAAGACGTATTTTATATATTAAAGTTCTAAATAAGATTACTCTGCTATTCTTACGAAAGAAAGAAAGAAAGAAAAAGAAAGAAAAAAGAAAAGAAAAGAAATAAAGAAAGAAAAGAAAGAAGCTATTCTTACGAAAGAAAGAAAGAAAGAAAAAGAAAGAAAAAAGAAAAGAAAAGAAAGAAAGAAAGAAAAAGAAAAGAAAAGAAATAAAGAAAAGAAAGAAAAAAGAAAAGGAAAGAAAGAAAGAAAGAAAAGAAAGAAAAGGAAAGAAAGAAAGAGAAAGAAAGAAAGAAAGAAAAGGATTCCTTGACCACCTCCCTAAAGTCCTGGATGTTTGAAAATCATTGCTCTAGGAAGTCATGTCATACAAAAATAAGAGTTGGCAAATGGTCCCTGTATTCTCCTATTCAGTGTTTTTCCCCATTTATGAAAGAGGTAAAAAATAACACTAATACATTTAGCTATTGTTACTTTTAATGTTTCTATTGGTATTTATGGCAATGAAAATAGTGCTGACTTAATGCACATTTCCAAGGCTTCAGCATAACATTAGCACTTTCAGTTTCTCTCTGGCCTTTTGTTTTTCCTTAGGAAATTCTTATAATCCTGCTCCATCTTTAATTATTCATTTTGTATTGGCTATCCAAATATATCCAATAATGCTCTTTCTGAAAATATGCCAATTGTGGTAATTACAGCTAAACTGGAATATTAAATTGTGATGTCTGTTTTCTAGAGAATGCAATACTATTCCCCAAAGCATAGCCTTGGTGCCTGTGCAGGTTCTATTTTAAATATTCCAGTAAAGGTTGTTTCATAGATAGGGGATGCTTTTCCTGGTCCTGCTAGTCTTCCAGAATGTTGGTCTTACTCTTGGGGGAGGTTTATTGAAACAAACAAGGAAATTTCACACCATACCTAGTCATGTTTTCTAGACATTTTAACATTTGATTTATTATTGCATGCTCTCCCAAAAGGCTGGGTTTGTCTGCGAGGGCACAGCATTTTGCCTGGTAAGCCAAGTCGCCAGCTCAGTCAGCAAGCACACAGTCCCAGTTTGCTGCTGTTCTGTTAGACTCCCTTGAGGGTCTTATCTAAACTGGTCTTCCATAACCACTTAATGGATCAGTTTGTGTCAGTTTGGGTCCTTACCGGGCTGTTTCTTGCATGCAGTTGGTGTCTCATAACTCTTAAGTTTAAGTTAGGTCTGGAAGGGTGGAAGCTACAGACGTTTCAGCTTTGATGGTGAAAGAGCATTTTCTACCAGTCGTGGCTTCCCAGCAGCGGGTTCCTTGGAGTGGGAGTGAGCTCCCCATCGCTAGACTCTTGTCAAACTTTTCTAAGCCAAAGTAAATATAGGCATCCTGTAAGGCCCTAATTCATTTCGTAAATCCTATTGTGTATAGTATAAGCAACTTTCGTGTTTGTGTGGATTGTATGTTATTTTCCTTTTTCAAAGAGAAGAATTTTCATTGGAAGACTTCCGTTGCCTGCAGGGAGGGAATCATTTTCCCAGTAGGCATGGGGGTTCCCTTCCATTCCGTCTCCAAGCTTCTTCTCCCCACCAAGTTAAGTCAAATTAGGCAGCTGGTAAAATATTCCCTGGCTCTTGAAAAGAAAGTGAACAGATCCCAGAATGTGCAGCTCTGGGCGGGATGCCCAGTGTGCTGTCCTTACAATCAGTATGAAGGTGTGGGAGGCAAGTTTGAGGGGCAAATTGGAACAACCGTACAGGGGAAACTTGACAAAATGTGTGAAGAACCCTAGAAATGTCGATGCCTTTTCACACAGCCATAAAACTTGTGAAGATGTATGCTGTAGTGATTATTAAGGATATGTACAAAGAGTGACTATTAAGATGTTCATCACAGTGTTGCTTAATAATAAAAAAAAGACTGAAAACAATATAGATTCAAAAATAAGAATTTCAATAAATCCTAATGTACTCATCATTAACAAAATTGTGAAGATGTGGTCATGGCATGGAACTATGTTCATGAGAACGTCTAAAAGCTAGTTTATTTTGAAAAACAAAATATGTCACCGCATATTATCTATAACATATAAATATAATTTTAAAAGTGGTAATCCCTAGGATTACAGGTGATTTTATTTTTTCCCTTTTGTGTATCTGTGTTCTTTCACGTTTGTATTGGGGGCAATGAATTTTTTTCTTATAAAAAGAAAAATGTACGTTAACCTCAATGGAGAAGCATTAACTCAGTTCAGTAACCACCACCTCATGCCACTCTCTCAAGCCAAGCCAAGGTGAAGCCCAGGCACCTTGGACTTCCCTGCTGGTGATGACGACTGCCCAAAACTCAAGCGCCTACTTGTCTCCTAGGGAAGGAAAGCCCCCCAGTAAGCGACACTCCAGATGATGGTGACGAGCCCATGCCTGTCCCTGAGGACCTTTCCACCACCTCTGGAGGACAGCAGAGCTCCAAGAGTGAGAGAGTAGTGGGTAAGTTGGGTCAGCGGGCATTCTTCTCTGTCTCTTTATATCCTTCTAAGATAGTGATTAAGTAACACGAGTCATTGTATCCATTGTTTTCCCTCAGCCATCTTGTCAAGGAAATACAGAGCAGAGGTCAGCTAGTGGGTCCTCTTGTACGAAGGAGAGTGGACACTCACAGGTCAGCGTGGTGCTGACACCCACATGCCCAGCAAGATGCGAGAGGGGAGGAGCACCCCTGCCCAGGGACGCGTCTCCATCACTCACCTCTGCCCTCAGTGCACATGCAGGAATATCAAATTTATGGATCGTAGATAGTGAAAATTACACATTTTATGTGTTATGGAAATAGAGCTATTTAGAGTTTGGGGTTAGAAGGAACAACATCTGGCCATTTTATGTTAATCCCTCTAATCTCTAGTTCTTAAATGTCAGCTTTAACTGAAAATAGAAAATTTGATAAATGGGAATTTTTAAATGTTAAAAAAAAAACTTAGTTAGCACACACTTGTGTACCTTTTCCATAAAGGGAAGGGTGTGTATGGAACCATCTGCAGTAACTCCATTGGTTAACTTACACGTGCTGCATGCACCCTTTTTATTTCAGGAAGACAGAGGCCTGCAGAAGTTTAGTGAATTAACCAAGCTCAAATGGCAGAGTCAGAATTAAACTCAATTTCTGACTTAAAAACTAGTTTTCACTCAAAGACACTTTTCATTATATCATGTTCTCATGAGCTTATGAGTCAACAGTTCCTTGGAATATCTATTTTTTAAAGAAAAACTGTGATATTAAGAGCCATTTATTAGCACAAAGAATGTCATGAAGGATATGTAGGTAAAATTAGGTAGAATGGATCAATGTGGATCAGTTACATGAGCCCCAAAGCCAAGGAGGGAAAATGTGCGTAAAATTCTCAGGCTTATGAAAAACACCTCAGCCATAGGGGACATCCTGATGCAATAACTAAGAATATGCAATAACCTAGAATTTCATATAAATATATACAAAACATTTGTATGTTTTCATGTGTCTTAGAAACCAAGTTCACTGAGTACAGTGATCCTTTTCTTTAATTTAGCAATGCCATTAATAGCACAAACAGATGACGATGGCAGCTAAAGCCATTTGGTGTGGATGAATTCAGAAAACAAGTACATCTATGAATTCTTTTGCCCTAGGAGAAAATGGCTACTGTGTGTGGGAAGGTGGCTGGGAAGAGAAATGACGCCTGTTGCTCACCTGCTCCGTTGTATGCAGGAAAGCTGCGCGTGTCATTTGGGGTTTCCCAAAGCTGGGACACAGATGATCATGCTTTATTTTAATTGATGCATTTATTTTTAAGATTATCGTCTATTTATTGCAAGTGATAGTGGGGGTTTTACCATACACTGTACCACTACACAGGTTCCTTTTAAAACACATTTATATAAGTTAAAAAATCAATTTAAATAAAAACACTAAGTCAATGATATGATATGTGATAAACATTTGCAAAGGTGTCACATGAATAGCGATTGTGGGGGTGATGTCCCCACATTTGTTTAGCCCCTGAAGCACCTAGTGCCATGGGTATTGTTCTCCCCACTTATTACATGAGCAAATGTATGCTCCAAACTCCCCTGCAAACACAAAGCGAGGGGCTCAGGGACCAAGAACCAAAGAAATGACCCATTAGCCACGTAAATGAACTGAGAGCCCACGCGTCAGAGTCAGGACACTGGCTAGAGTGGTTATGGATAAAGTTGTGGGTTCTCCCTGAAATCCCTGCAGCTGCCGTGGAGCCTTCGAGCCAGCATGGCCATGGACATCCTTTAGAGAACTGAAAGTCAGGCTGATTCCTGGAGAGCAAACAACAGCGCAAACGCCTTCAAAGTGGTGTAAATGTCTTGTCCCTTATGAGCTTCAAATTATTGGTAGTTTTCCCTGGGTGAGGGATCACCCAGCCTCAGCTGGCATTGCTGACTGGTCCCCAGAACTGTATTTCCTTGGTTCAGAGTCCCTCTCTCTGTCCCAAGTATGCCCATCCCAGGCGTTACCTTGGAGTCCTGGGTGGGTTTGCCATTTCTCATGGGCCCTGCCTCCTGCCCTTTATCACATGCGACATGATTCTCAGTTACTTTTCCTTCCAGAATAAAGTTTAGAAAATAGAAATTTCAGGATTGTGAAACTGGAAAACCTTTTTGCTTTGGTTTGAGGTCACCCTGTGGACGGGCAGGGACAGCCATGTGAAGTGAGCACTGAGACACTGGGAGAGCGCATGCTCTGGTGGGTGACTGGAGGTCAAAGGTATGGATGGTCCCTGCCACAAAGGAAGAAGGGGAAAGCCCAGATTACACGTTGAACACCAGACAGGGGAGAAGTTTAAGGAGAGGAAGTTAGGGAGTAAGAGGGTCTCAGAAGACTGAACCATAGGAGACATCGAGGGAAGAAATGACGCTTCACAGCAACTGAGTTTAAAGGACCATCCTTTGTGATTCTTGAAAGCAATCAGCTAGCTTTGGTGTGTGGCATAGGTTGTTTATTAATTTGTGATGTGGAGCATTAAATAGATGAAGTATGTAGACAGCATTAGGAAACAATATATTATGAAAGGTGGGGGAAAGTCATAGACTAAAGGAAGTAAATTTGATGGCATACTTTATCACAGTGTTCCACAGGACTGAGACCCAAGAGCAAACGACAGACAACGGGAAGTGAGAAGCCCTCCTGGGACAGAGGCAGGCAGGCAGGCAGGAGGAAGTAGAGCTATCGAAGCGTGGAGTACACAGGGGGGTGGAGGGGACCCGTGGCGAAGGCCTGGCAGAGTGAGGAAAATGCATCTGAGAAGGGACAAGTCCAAGTCCCCTTCTCCCTGGCCTTGTGTGTCCTGCACAGCTTCTTCTCTCCAAGCCTCAGTTTCCTCGTTTGATGGTGGCAATAGCAACCGAGCACATGTCACAGAATGGCCTTAAGAGTTAGATTTTAAAAAAACAGATTTTGCTGAAGATAGAATAGCAAGGTATATTAGCAAAATATAAAGTAAAAAGGACACAAAAATAGCAGGAAAAATGCAACTTATGCAAAACAGAAATTTTAAAGATTTACAAAAAGAGTAGAGGAACCTATTGTAGCTTCAATTGAGAAAAGAGAGAGAATGGATAACATTGTAGCACCAAGGAGAGAAGAGGAATTTATTAATTAAGAAAACATTGATCCATAGAATAAGCAAAGCGAAACAAAGGAGAGGAGGGAGGAACTGGAATAGGGTGAGGCCAAAGGAAAGATTAGGGTGCTGCCCACCACCAGGCCCAAGTTCAAGTCAAGGGTGCTAAGCTGTTACTGTTGAAATTTTAAGAAGATGGAAAAAGTGGGAAAATATTAGGTATTAGTAGATTGCAGGAATGTCTGCTTTAGAAAGAGACAAGAACACTTTTGAAAAGCTATGAGCCGTTATTGCCAGTAGCATCATTCAGTCTCAGACAAAGCTAGTCTCAACAGGGAGAACAGGCCACCGTCGTAAACAAACTGACAGGAAATGGCAGCACCAACTCCCTGTGATGGGGTGGGAGATTACACTGATCGGCGGTCACTCCCAGAATGAAAAACGTAATGGTTTCACATCATGTTGCTTCACTCGGTGCTGAAGGAATGCTCTGCGTCTGTGTGTAAATGTGGGACAGCAGCCAGAGCAAGCCTAGGGCCCTTACTGGGCCTCCATCTTCTTCCAGATCCAAATAAGAGGAAACCAAGGATTTGAAGTGCAGCTTGGAGAATTTAAGTTAGACTCAAAGGAGAACTTTTTGGCAAGGAGGGATTTAGTCATCAGAACAGTCTATTTAATGAGACTCTAGCTTGTTCTTCTGAAGTGGTCTCTTTAAAAATGAGAGAACTCTCACCTCTCTGAAGTGGTTGTATACGAAACTGTTTAAAGCCGAGGGTGCACTCAGTGACCTCTTAAGGCAATCCCAGATTTACTCAATCAGCCATACTAGAGCAGTCAAAAAGACTTTGAGACTTACTCCAAAAACTCTTGAGCAGGTGCTCTTACAAGTCTTCCATTTTAGGAATTACGTCAGGATTGGGGTCTAGAAAGCAGATAGGTGTTTTGTATAAGAAAACCAAAAACTTGGCTATTTTCTTTCTTTATTCAATCATGCTTCCATTTCTTCTTCCTTCTTTTATACCATGAATTTTTGCTAGTTATTGACTCATGCTCTCTGGGAGAGAATGTGTCCTAGAATTGAGGAAGGATCCTCGGTCGCTGGCATTCTGGTGACAAGCGCACGGGTGTGGAGGTGCACTGGCCACACCGGAGCCGGGAGCTGGCTGTGGGTTGGGCTGGTTCCAGACACAAGACTGGCCGTGAATGAGGAGGACCACACCCGCCACGCCCCACCGCCCTGCCCATGTGTGCAGACAGTGGGCAAGGAAGGTTGGTGGCTGGAGCAGAGGGAAAAAGGAAAGACCAGAGGATAGAGAAGAAGGGTTCCAGACTAAAAAGTGGAATGGCCACCCCTGAGAAAGAGGACAGGCAAATTTAGGGGTTAAGGGTAGAATCAAAGGAAAACCCCAGGGCAGAGGCACAGTAATGCTGGGGACTGAACTGGAACAATGACTTAGGCACGCACACAGGGGTGGTTGAACCAGTGGAAGGCCAAAGAATTGAGACTGATGCAGGGTTGGCTTACTAAATGCCTTGGCCACCTGGGTGGATAATCTGACAACCTTAGGCAGTAGTTACTCTTAGGCAGGAAGGAGGAAGTGTGAGTTTGAATATGGGCAGGGAACATGTACTTACATTTGCCCCATGACATTCTAGAATGTGCTTCTTTGGTTCTGCTCCCTTAAGCAGCTTGCTCCCAGAGTTGTAAGCAGATAACTGTGTGTCATCAGTGTTTGTTTCAGGACGTAAGCACTGTAGGTCGTATCTCACAGCTTGGTGTTTCGAGGCCCCTAGCGGCTCCGAGAGATCGAAACTCAATGAGCACAACTTTGGTTCTTCATGTTGAATAGTTTGACCAGGGTT